CACTCTGCTAGGGATCGTGGCCGGTAAGGCAAAAAAAGCAGAGCAAGGTCTGTCTCCCCTTCCCAGTGCTCTTCCCAGCTGTTTGTAGGAGCAGTTCCTTTTCTTCTTGTCCTTTCCCTGGCTCTCGGGCAAAGCAAAGCAAAATGTGGAAGTGGTCAGTGGTGTGATTTTTTTCACCAGCTCCCACCCAGGCAGGGCCCAGCGCAACCCTGTGTGGCATGCCTGGAGGCTGGATGCGAAAGGGTTTCTCAGTTGACATGGAACTGCAAAGCCAGGCTGCTCAGGATGGCTCCTGCCTGTGCCCCCTGCCCTCCAGCAGCTCCTCTTGCTTTCACCCTCACCAGACATCCACACTTGCAGATGGACAGGAACTCTTTGGAGGCAGCCAGAAGCTCAGCTGGCAGCAGTCAAGCAGCTATCCCTAGTGGTGAGGGCATTGGTGGCAACACTCACTCTCAAGTTTTTGTCTGAGGTGTCTTAAGTCTTCCTCCTGTTCTTACGGATGGCTGCTGCAGGTTTCTTCAAGCCCCCTCCCAGACCTATAAACTCCTTGCCTCCCTCTTCTGGATTGATGCCCAGAACTTTCATGTATGTGCTCAGAGCAAAGACTTTCCCCCCAGGTTTTTATGCTGACCCAAGAGCTCAATCTTACCCCTTTTATATCAGTGTCATAGACAAGAAACAGGGAAAATGCTGCTGCCTAGACCTCTTGAGACAGGAAGGAACCAGTTAGGGGATGTACATCAGTCTTTCAGAGGAAGGCAAACCCCTTCATGGAAGATGGAGACCCTTTCTCACCCCAGCTAGTCTGGAGCACACCTACAGCTCACACACAAACTCACATCTCCAGGGAGGAGCACTAGTGCCAGGAGGAAAGTGGGAAAAATCACCACAAGTTTGCATGAGAGGAATACCATCCTAGCCCTTGCAGGAAGCCAGGAGAAGCTCAGCAGCGTAAGATTCAATCAAAGCCATTGCGATTCTTGCACAGCCTGATGTTTTCTGAACAGTGGACAGCCTTCTGCTCCATCCATAGCCTCTGGGGGAATGGATGTAGATAAGAGAGCATAAGATACTGTCCTTTATTGCTGGAGCGGGTATGCAGAGCAGGAATCAGGATATTTCATTCCCTTTCAGGCTCATTTATCCATTTACCCAGCCATGGCCAGCTCCTAGTTGTTTTCTTTACCACAGCAGCTTTAAAGTGCTGTGCTAGAGGTGTGCAGCACATTTAACCACTGTATCTTCAGAAAACCTGGTGCCCCTAGGACATGGTGGGCCTGGTGCAAGCCCGCAGGTTAATCATACATGCATTTGCACTCGGTGTGGTTATATGATGATTGCTACAACGGGAAGCCTTCCCTGGACCTAAGCAACTTCTGCTATTGAGAACAGACAATCACAAAGCAGGTGTCCACAACACACACCCAACACCTCCACACAGCGTTCCCATGACAGCACTTCTGCTGCTGTGGTACAAGAGAGGGATGGCATGGGATGGGATGGCATGGGACAGGATGGGATGGGTCCAGCAGGGCTGTTGTGCCTCCTTTCAGTATTCCCGGAAATTGCAATATCGTGTGTTCTCTTGGACTTAGGGACAAAAGAAGCACTTTCAGAGGAGGAATAACATTTCCTCGCTGAGGCAGTGGGTATGCTCTTCTTCACTCCTTCGGTGACGCCAGGGACAAGGGAGGCACCAGCAGGGTCGGGGAACTGCCCACAATGGGACACTGCAATTCTGGCAGCATCTCAGTGGGATCATTTTAAAGTTTCTCCATCTGGCTGCCCATACCAATGCTTTGGTCTGCTCTGCAGAACACTTGATGACATTACTTGTAATTAATCACTGCTTGTCTGCCTTCTGGTAAGGTTTGGAGGTTGCATCCAGGTGACACTGAAGCCTAAAGGGGGCCCTTTACTCTGTTTTACTCCCTGTGAGCTCCGTTTCTCGCTGTAGACTCACAGCCCCTCAACTGCAGGTACTGCGAGTCGGGGAGGCTCAGGAAATGGAAAATAAAATGACATAAAGAGGTCAAATCTAGCAGAGCTCCTGGCAGCAAGACAGTGCTCAGGAGCAGGACCTCCACCTCTTCTCAAGGACTGGTACTGTTTCCCCCTCTCTCTTCAAAACACTTAGATGAAATCTATATTAACGAAGGAAATATGCCCAGACCCTTCCCTGGCACTGAGGTGGACTGGCACAGAATGGCCGTGTCTATTGAGCTCTTACCCTTCAAAATATGGTGGTCATGTGCAACCCATGTGTCAGGAATGGTCCCTGGCACATCTTGACTCCCAGATCATACAAGGAATTGTCAAGACGGTGCTAGTGGCCAGTGGCTAACAATGTGGCTATGGGAAAGATCAAGTGCCAGTGACCTAGGAACATAGCTGGCACTTTAACTCTTCCAGTCTGTACTAGTCTGAAGAGTGTTCATCTTTAGACCCAGTATGTACTGGTAGGCCAACCCTAGTTACGGTAGGGCATTTAGTTCCAATACTGAACTTCTCCCTCTCATCCTTCCCCTTCTCCCCATCTCGTTCTCCTTCTCTCAGCAGTGCTGCTTTCCACACATCTCCTCTCTTTTGCTCAGGAAACATCACCCCACTGATGTCTCATGCTCCAGCTGTCCTCCTCTTTGGTCCATCTATAGGATTTGCTTCCTATCTATAGTGCCCCCCCACTGAGGTCTAGCTGAGGGTCCTGGACTCTTTACCCCATGCCAGCGTCCTCACTGGACTGGTGCAGAAGTTGTTCCTCCAGTGCAGACCCATTGTAGAAATATTAAAGAACTGCTTCCTTCTTTTCAAACGGACTTTATTCAATTAGCCTCACTCTCACTCCATTTCCTCAGAAGATAACGTCACTGTAAGCTACAAGCAGGCACTGGAGCATCTCCAGTGCCTGAAGCACCAGCAGCATCCAGTAAGAGATTATGCTGGATCCATTCTGTGGATCTTAGCAGGGGGTACGGTGCCAAGCATTGGGGAAGAGTCCAGCTCCAGGGGGTCTTTTCAGCTCCCCTGGTAAGAATTGACCCTTGTCTTACCCACCGGCACCTTCCGTGTCTCCTCCCTCCTTACCTCCTCCCCCCCTTTTGTTTGCACAAATCCTCCAAGGAACCGAAGGACACCCAAAAGACCCCGTACTCCTCTGCCATGTCCTTGCCGCGAGCACTTTGCTGTGTTTCCCGTTTAAGGTGTCGGCTCCATCAGGCGAGGCCACCTCTTGTGCCGTTGTCTGCAAGAAGCCTCGCACAGCAGAGCCAGGATCTTGGCAGGAATCCTTAAGTGCTACTATAAAGCAAATAAATAATCAATCATTATTATTTTCATGTATCTGTGAGTCTTCTCTAATAGGTCTTGATATTATTAAGGTGCTGAGGACAGGCTGAAATTAGATAATACTACACTCAGCTGGCATCTATTCCCTTGGAAACACAGGTAAAAATGCATTTAATAGCTCTCCAGTGACAATGAATATTCATTAATACGACACAGACGTACACTTGATTTGAAAATAAGGACAGTAATTAAAGAGCTATTAAGGTTAAAAAGCAACAAAGGAAATTCAACTCCCGAAAGAGCTGTTCTGGGATCAGCCTCTATCCTATACGTGCCTGGATAAGCACAGGCAGCCTGAGATTCCCTACTTTATTTTACCTATCGGCAGACCATGGGTTCTGCCTTCTCTCCCCAGACTCCGTCATCTGGAACTCGACGGTTGGACTTGATGATCTTAAAAGTCCCTTCCAACTGAGATGATTCTATGAAATGTCCTAATGAATTGAGAATTCATTTTTCCTGCCGCTTTACAGAGCAGCCGTGCTCCACTGCGGTGCTGCCGCTCGTACCCTGTCTCACAGGCTGCTCCAAGGAGTGGAGGGAAGAGATTGCTTATATTCATTACTTCTGTTAAAATAGTCTCAGGGATCGCCAGTCATGATAGCTGCCTTGCTGTAATCTCTGAAAATCTCCATCCCGCAGGCTGTGGTATTAAAGTCAAGTTTCTCAGGGAGGTTTCACAAAGGTTCCTTCACAGGGGTGGCTTGAGAAAGTGACCTGAGCGGTGTGGAGGTGAGGAGGAGCAGACATGTCCAAGGGGCAGCAGCAATGCTGCAGGACCAAGCCGTCACACTGCTTGCTCACGGCCGGGACAAACCTGTGTCATCTCACCCACCGTGTCCCTGCCGGTCTCCTCCCGCTGCAGGCAGAAACTGCAGGCTCTCAGCAGAGCTGGGTCCCTCAGGGACGGGGCAGCGGGTGGGAAACAGCAGCCGCCCCGGCGAGCAGAGGAAAAGCGAGATGTGCATCCTCCAGACCCAGGTGTGCTGCTGTCAGGAGGAGGTTGCCACACCGGGCCATGCCACCAGCCTGCTCCCTTGCTGGGGAGGGTCTCCCAGGCCAGTTATGCCACTGAAGAAATCACGGCAGAAGCTGAAGCAAAGCAGGCAGAGAAGCAGAGTGTTGGTTGTTTTTTTTTTTTTTAATTTCTAACCCAGCAGTGTAATGGGAAATAGAAGAGTCAATCAACCCATCGGGCTGGTGTTTCAGGCCGCTCCATGAGCAGAGTTAGCTGCATATCACCTAAATTAGAAGCAGATAAACCACCTCTTGCCTCTGCCCTAAGCTGACTCAACCGACTTTCTGCGCAGCAGCACCCGGTGCAGCCACGTGTATAAAACGGGTGACAGAGCTGAGGCAGACACCCCGTCCCGCTCCCCTGCAGCCCTCAGGCCAACACTCTCCTCTCCTTCGCAGGTACACTCGCAGCAGAAGGCAGCCCTGAGCTGGCTGCGTGTCACCAGGCTGATCCATTTCCTCACAAATAAATGATAAAGTTGCGTTTTCTGCCTGGATTGGTTGGTGGGTTTTTTTGGTTGGGGTTTTTTTGGTTGTTTTTTTTTTTTTTTTGTGGAGGAGGGTTTTGGTGCGATTTTTTTCTGGGAAAAAACTACAGTTCTGTGCTTTAAGCAGCGTATTGCTGCTTCAACCTAATGGGGTTTATCCTGCGAGTAAGAGAGACTGCCAATGTTTGCTTTTCTCAGAAACCCGACCTGAGACTTTTCGCAGGCACGAGAACGTGACATCTCAGTTCTTACCAACTTTAAGCCGTTTCACCTCCCTCGGCCACCTTCTGCGGTAACTTCGGGAGAACTGACGGAATTCACTCCCGTGAAACCGCCGTGTTTGGCTACAAACAGCCTCCGCCGGAGGGGCGGGCCGGGGGGCTGCGGGGATGCCCCGCTCGCTCCCGGCACCTCCGATTCGCACCCCGGACCCCCTTCGGCT